TTCCACATTACTTATGTTACTTCTTCTTCTTCAAGTTCCACTCCTATCGGAGATTGGAAATCATTCTGGCAATTATAATTTTATTGGTTACTCGCCTGAATAGTTCAATTGAACTGCATCCAAACCATTCACGGAGATTGCGTAGCCATGAGATTTTACGTCTTCCTACGCTTCTTCTACCTTTGATTTTACCCTGCATTATATTCCTTAGTAGTTCGTACTTTTCACCTCTTAGTATGTGCCCCAAGTATTCCAGTTTTCTCATTCTATTAAAAGTTGACCGCGCAATTTCAATGCGGCATCTTATTTCTTTTGTCTGATCAGTATCTTCTGTGATCCATGCTCCAAGGTATTTGTACGAAGATATTTGTTCAATTTCTGTATTATCTAGTACTAGCTTAACTTTGATGTTTTGTGCTTTTGTAAATACCATGAACTTGGTTTTCTTCAAATTGATTTTTAGTCCATAATCTTTGCAATATATATTTAGTTGTTCAGCAAGGTGTTGCAGTTCTTTTAGTCTTCCTGCCAGAAGGACGGTGTCCTCAGCATATCTTATGTTATTAAGTGGCTCACCGCTTATTATAAGGCCCTCACTGATCTCGGCAAGCGCTAATTCTGAGATGGCTTCACTGTATAAATTGAACAACAAGGGTGATAAAATACACCCTTGGCGGACCCCACGGCGAATCTGGATATCCTTGGTCAGTTCTTTTTCAACTTTCACTTTTGCTGTTTGATTCCAATAGAGGTTACAGATGATTCTAATGTCTCTACTGTCTATGTTTTTATTTAATAAAAATTTTTTAAGTCGAATATGCTGCACTCTGTCAAATGCCTTCTCAAAATCAATGAAACAGGCATATACTTCCTGATTAATATTTAAGCATCTCTGCGAAAAAACACTTAATGCAAACAGTGCATCTAGTGTTCCCAGTCCTTTCCTAAATCCCATTTGTGTATTACTTATGCCTTCATCTAATTTCTTATGTATTCTATTGTGAATTACTTTTAAAAACAATATCAAGACATGACTCATTAAGGCTATGGTGCGATGTTCATTGCACTCCTTTGCATTGGCTTTTTTGGGAAGCAGTATGAATGTTGATTGGAGCCATTCTTTAGGTATTATACCTGTTCTATACATGGTATTGAATAGATCCAAAAGAAGATCAATAGATTCAGTATTCACAATTTTAAGTAATTCGATAGGAACTTCATCAGGCCCGGGAGATTTACCACCTTTAGCTTGTTTCATTACATATTCAATTTCTTCTCGTATAATGTCAGGCCCAGTATCATCCTTAAATTCTTTTGGTGCTTCTGTTCTCTCTTTGTCTTCAAAAAGTTGTGCTATATATTGTGTCCATCTCTGCATTTTTTGGTTTATATCTGTTATAAGTTCATCTGTGTTCATCTCTTCTTGAAGTGTTTTTCTCATTCCTGTTAATTCTCTAATTCTTTTATGCATGTTAAAAAAGTCATATTTTTTCTCAATTTCTTCTAGTTCTGGTACTGCTCATGTAACATTCTCTCCTTAGCTTCTTTTATTCTCTTTTTTATTAATCGATCAGTTTCATTGTATTTAATTGGATTTTTTGTTTTGAATGATTTTCTTTCATTCATTAATAGTAGTATTTCTTCAGTCATCCAATCTTTATGTTTTCTATTCTTTGGTTTTAAGTTTTCATTTGCTGTTTTAATTATTGCTACTTTTATATTTTCCCATTTCTGATCAATGTTATAGCTACTTTTATACTTTAGATATGTTACTAAAATTATGTTATTATGTTCTTGTATACTTTCCCTTTTATTCCCCTATCAGCAATTATACCAACTTCATTTGCCTTTTTCTCATGTACCACAATTTGTATCCTTTAGTTAGTTCTTTTGTCCTTCCCATTTTGATTCTTGAATGCAAGCAATGTGTATTCTCCTTCTTTTAAGCGCATCCACCAATTTCATACTCATACCTGTTATAGACGTCTAAAAGTCCACGCGCACTGTGCAGCTGTCATATATGAACAGCCAGTTATAGCAGCCAAGCGATGGACAGTTGTGCCCGTTTTTAATATGAAGCGAATATAAACATAAAGCGATATGGCCGTGGAAGAGGCCATAATTATTTACCGTTTGTCTCCTAAAAAAACGCAAAATAAAGAAAAGGTTAATAAATTGCCCTTGCAAATTATATTGGTAATTTATTTCTATCCCCTTTTTTTACCTTCTAGATTAATAAATTCTTCAGAAAGTATACCTTAAATTGCTTTTTCTTATCCCAGAACAGCTTTTAACTTCCCGTGTCAAAAGTCATTTTAAAAGCTTTAGGAATAGGTCTGATAACACACAGATAACACAACAAGTGCGCAGAAACTGAAGGCAGCCATATTAATTGCCCTTCAGAATCCACATTCGCTTTGGTTTCGGGTATTTAAAAGACTGCCGGTGCAATCGGCACGTTTTAGAGGCTGCCGTAGTCAGGTATTCTGGGCTGCCTAGTCCGAAGGCTCCCGTAAACCGTCTAAGTTTGAGTGGCTGTCGAGTGCGCGGGGGCCCTAAGATTCCAAGATCTTACTATGATTTTTCTAACCTGTAATATTGTTCCCTTTAAGATAAAATAAAAATCCTAAGAGAGCTTTCTCGCACATTTTACCTTAGTTGATGCTATTATTTTTGTGTAATTGATTGATTTTAAAGAAGGTCTTTTCATTATTATGACCTGAAAAGAGTTTTTAGCCTTTAGTATCTGAAAGTCTTTTATGTAAGCTTTAAGTCAGTAAGTATTTTGCAAACACATTACCAATGCAATCAATAATAAAATCAAAGCCAGTTTATCATCAGGACTGTTTTGTGTACTATTGTATTACTCCTCATATTCTACTAATAGGGCTAGGCAAGTATCTTAAGATAGATGTTATGAAATTAATCAGTAAAGCGTTAACGAAAAAACTACATTTACTCTAGTTATTAGTGATTTTAACTTAAAAAGTGTGGACCAAAAAATACGGATGTAACAACAGAAATGATTGCGTTCTTGTATTTTTTCTGTAACAAAAAATATGATGTTAAAAAATGTATCAAAAAGAAATTGAACATAGATAATCCCTAATAGAATAACTAAAAATAAAATAAATTATATCTTGTCCAAAAAAAATCATCTAAAAGACGAAATAATGATCAATCAATTTACTACTTTCGGGAAAATTTTTTTTCAGAAAGCTATCGATTCTGTTTAATACTGGTCTGTAATGAAAATCTTATCAACAACATAATATATTGAAATGAATCAGCGAAAATCAGATATATCAAAACTATATGAATTAGGAGGACAAAATTCTACAAAGCTGTAACATTAAAGAAAGTGTTCAACTAAATTGGAAAGAATAAGCTTAAAATAAATTACCAAGAGCTGAATAATCTCAGATATATAGATACAAAATAAAATAAGATAGATATCTTGCTTTAACATTCTTTCTCCTTTTTTTACCTTGACTTTGACTTATTCATTTTGCCAGATTTTAGTTCAAAAAAATATTTTTTTCTTGGACACCACAAATTTACTAACATCACATTCAAAATATTTTATTATGTTAGTAAAGCTTTATTTGTACTATACTTAGTAGTTCTGATATCACCAGAGATAGTTAACACCATAACGAGATTTTTATGTGCTTTTTGTGTCTTTAATATTTTTAAATGCTCTTCTTCTTCTTCTTCTTCTTCTCGTGCCACTCCTAGCGGAGATTGGAAATCATCATGGCCACTGCGACTTTGTTAGCAGCACGCCTGAAAAGTTCAATTGAACTACACCCGAACCGTTCACGTAGATTACGAAGCCACGATATTTTTCTTCTTCCCACACTTCTTTTGCCCTTAATTTTGCCCTGCATGATGTTTCTTAAAAGTTCGTACTTTTCACCTCTCACAATGTGCCCCAAGTATTCCATCTTTCTAGTTTTTATCTCATTTAGAATTTCGCATCTTTTGTCTAAAGTTTGGAGTACTTGCGTGTTAGTGACGCGGTCCATCCATGATATTCTGAGAATGCGCCTATAGCACCACATCTCGAAAGCTTCGATGTTTTTTATGGTCAACTGTTTTAGTGTCCAAGCCTCAACTCCATCTAACAGGGTAGAAAAGACATAACACCGCAGCATTCGTATGCGTAACTTTATATTGATATCACGATTGCAAAAGAGTTTGCGCATTCTATTAAAGACTGATCTAGCGATTTCTATTCTACATCTAATCTCTTTTGTTTGATCAGTATCGTCTGTGATCCAAGCACCTAGATATGTATAACAAGGCACACGCTCAATCGTTGTATTGTCTATTACAAGATTAGCTCTGATGTTCTTTGATTTCGTGATTACCATAAATTTAGTTTTTTTCAAATTAATTTTCAAGCCGTAACTGTTACAGTATATATTGAGACTTTGAACGAGATGTTGTAGTTCTACTAGCGTTCCCGTTAGGAGAACTGTATCGTCAGCGTACCTTATATTGTTGATCGTCTCACACATTTATTATCAGACCAAGATCTTCTTCCTCGAGTGCTTGTTCACAGATAGCTTCACTATACAGATTAAATAAAAGTGGCGATAAGATACATCCCTGCCGGACTCCTCGACGGATTTGAATTTCTTCTGTTAGTCTGCCCTCAACCTTGACATTTGCTGTTTGATTCCAATATAGATTGCATATAATTCGAATATCTCGGCTGTCTATATTTTTCTTTATTAGAACTCGTCTTAGTGGTTCATGTTGTACGTTGTCAAAGGCCTTTTCGAAATCAATAAAGCAGACGTAAATTTCTTGGTTCATGTCTAAGCATCTCTGTGAGAGAACGTTTATTGCAAACGTTTAATGCTCTGCATCTATTTAATTTTTTTTTTTTTTTTTGTCGTTTAGAAATTAACGAATTTTTTGTTTTTCAGATGATTTTTTTTAAATACGATATTTATATTTGTTATTATTCTTATTCCTGCTTTTTCTTACAGATTCGGTATGCTGGCACCGATCATAGTCCAAATGGAACGCCAAATCGACAGGGAAATAGCGGCGGACCAGAAAAAAATGGGCGTCAACTTCAACGAAGGCTCAAATAACCAGAACGGTGTAGATGACGACAGCGATAGCGATTTAGAAGACGAAGAGACTGTTTTAATGTATGGACCTATGCCCCAGATTATTACCAACGACCTCAAGAGTTTAGACGAGATGGTAAGTCGAATGTTATCTTTACTATTCTTTTTTTTTTAAGTCCAAAAACGAGAGCGTTGTATCCGAAAATATTAGGTGTTCAATGAGTTTTGCGGTTGAATAAGAGATGTCATTGTATATGTAGTTTCATTTTAATCTGTCAATTCATTGTTTGTTTCAAAGCGATTTAGTATCGACATGTCACAGTATTTTTTACAATGGAAAAATCAAGTATTATTGTGCAGTTATTGAATTTTTATTTTTGGAATGTTTAAAAGCAAAGGAAACAAGGGCGTCCAAAAATGGCAATAACACTCGAAATCGTAGAAAAAATACAGGACATCGTATTGGAAAATCGTTAAGTGACTGAAAGAAATTTAGTAGAAGCTCTAGGTATCTGATTGGTCAGTGTAAGCAATATTTTCACTGAGGTATTTGGTTTCAGAAAGCTTTATTCACAATGGGGGCTGCATTTGCTAACAGTGGAAGAAAAACACATTCAAATGCGACGTTCTCGGCAACATTTAGAGCGTTTTCTAAAGGATAAAATTGATTTTGTGCATCGATTCATCACTACTGATGAGACTTGGATCTATCACCATAATCCAGAATCAAAACAAGAAGCTAAAGAGTGATATGAACCTGCTTATTCGGTTCCCAAACGAGTTGTTTATGGATTACTCGCAAACTGACAAAACAGACCCGGTTTGCTGAATTTCTTTTTCATCAGGACAATACACCGTATTATATGAGCATTTTGACAATGGCTAAAAGCATGAATTAAAGTTGGAGTATCCACCCTAATCACCAGATTTGACCCCTAGCGACTTTCATCTGTTTCAATACCTGCTCAAAAAAATTCATGTGTGGAAAATGTTTTTCATCAAAGGATGAGAGCTGTGGAAACCTATTTTGCAGTTCTTCGAGATTCTCATTCGAGGGATGGAATTTATAAATTGGAATCTATACCCATTTATAAATTAATACATATTTAACATATTAGTATGGTAAGTGTATTTTAAACCATAAAAGTATTTTTGGATTCCTCTTCACACTACTAATATTGGATATCTAATTTCTCTCAGAAGTATAGAAACCGTATGTCCAAAGCCTTGAGTATTTGCGTGCTAGTATAATGGGCGCCACAATAAAGGATACTGAAACCTGCTTTATAAGCAGGTTGGGGTTTCCCTCAAATCAATTTTTACACTTATTTGTGAACTCAACTCACTTTGTGCGCTTCATCAGTGCTATGGAAATATGGTTTTAATAAGTCTTTAAGTATCACATTCCGAGAAATAATTCACGTATTGCATTGCTCATTTCCCGGTCAAACACTTTCGCCTTTGGTAATCATTACTGGGGATTTTTTTATGACTGTTTGGCGTTTACCATCAAACTTAAAATCAGCTTTACTTTAAGTGAAATACTCAACGTCCTGCCAATTAAATTCAGTCACGTTAAAAAAAAATACAAAAGAGACATATTCTGCTTATTTTAAGAATCAGTTAAAAATTCGCATTTTTAATGAAATATCGGTGTTTTGAACCATGTGATTTTTGCAAGAATTTTGGAATGCTCCTTATAAATATTACATATATCTAATGCCATCTCTCTCTCTCTCTCTCACACACACACAAATATTACATATGCTTACTTCTCGTATTTGATACAATATCTTGTATAAATCCGTCTCTGTCGTCTCTATTAGTACCTACGAGCGAATGTAAATGAACTAAGTACAGAATAACTCATTAATTCAGTAGGCTGTTAATCTCAAGAAACACCTGTTCATTTATAAACAAAAGACCAGTGACTGGTGGAGAACGTGTTTTTCAAAATAAACAAATCCAATAGATTGGCGTAAAAACCATTAAGAGTGACGTTTAATTTTTCGTAAATCATTCCACGTGAAAGGAGTTAATTGTTATTAATCTTTTCTCGCTGGACGCAGTGCTCGTTTGATAATAATAGGTCCTTTCCTATTATTAACAAAATGCGAAACATAAAGCAGGTGTCTACTTAGCAGTTTTTATCTTTTCATTTTATAAGTTTTTATTAGAATTTATAGCTGTGTGATTGCTGTAACAAAATCTCTAAAAATAACTATAAAAATTAAAAATGAAGGGTTATTTAGAAAGTGGTATTTACAGATTTTCGTGTGGAAATTGTTTACAAATTTACATGAGACAAACAGAGTCATCTTTTTAAATCATATAATAGAGCATAAAAAATCATTCTTAAAAAAGTCGGTCTCGTACTTAATCGTTTCGTATCTTTTTGTTTATGTTGTTTTGTTTTTTTTTTGTTATATCAATCTTCATAACGTTTATCTAAGTGTCTTATTTTGTTTTTATATTCCGTTCTAGCGTGTTTATGTCACACAAAACCGGTACTCATATGAACTTTAATAAATAGATTATGCCTATTTAACACAGATTACAATGAAAATATTTACCAGTAGGCCGGAAAGAAAAAAAAAGGAAGTATCACCTAAAAATAAAATTACATTGTCTTTAATAACATAAAAAAAATAATACAAGAGATAATCTGCCTAATATTAATGATATAAATATAAATGATACCTTATACTGGTGGAGAGCAGATCTACATTCATGTTTAACTATTTACAAAGCCTTTATTAGATCCATCCTGGATTACGCATGTACGTTATATGAATCAACCAGTCCTTACACCCAAAAACGATTGGAAATTATTTAAAATACTTTCCTAAGACTCTGTTTGGGTGTAATGTGTTCAACGCCTGTGAAACCACTTCGAATTGATCACTACAACCACCATTAAGTCTTTTTTTTTAAACCCATCATCATCATCATATAACGGGGGTCCTACGGCGATTGCCGCTTCCCGCATTTCAGCCTCCATCTTTTCCTATCTCTCCAATCTCCCTCTTCTAAGCCTCTAGATTGCATTGTTTTTGTAATTTCTCTTCTCCAGGAATTTGGTGGTCTTCCGCTTTTCCTTCTTTCTGGCGGAACATACATTAAGGCTTTCTTTGGCCACCGCTCCTCCTCCATTCTCATCACGTGACCATACCATTGTAATTGCCTTCCTTGTATTCTATCTGAAAGAGTATCTCTAATTCCTGTACGGTTTCGTATTTCCTCATTCCTGATTCTTTCCATTCTCGATACTCGACATGACCTTCTAAGATAATCCATTTCCACAACGTCTACTTTATCTCGTTCATTCTTTGTCGTCGTCCAACATTCGGCACCATATGTGGTAATTGGTTCTACAATTGCTCTGTATACGCGAAGTTTGGTATGCATCTTTATTTATTAGACCACAGTAATGAATTCAGTATTCAGATGCATTTTTTCCCTTGGGTTATTCGGTTTTGTACATCTATCTTAACTCTGCCATCTGCTGATATGATGCTTCCTATATATTTATACTGGTTGCAGCCTTTTATGACTGCGTTTTCAAGCCTCAGATCTGTGGTATTTCCTCCAATTTTTAAATATTCTCTTTTGCTTATGTTTACAGTAAGCCCCCATTTGGCATATTCCTCAAATAATTTTCGATTCATATAATTTATATCTTCCTCATCGGTTGCAACCACCACCTGATCATCTGCAAACAACAATGTATACAGAGTTTCTTGTCCCACTTCGATGCCCATAAATCTACATTTATTTCTCCAATTCCTCAATGCTTCTTGGACGTATATTTTAAAGAGTGTCGGTGACAAACAGCGTCGTTGCTTTAGGCCTTTAGTGACTTTAAATTCATTTGAAGTTCTGGTTCCAATTTTTACACAACTAACTGCATTTTCGTACAATTTATATATCGCCCGGATAGACGTCGAATCCAATCCGGACCTTTTGAGGACCTCAAACATTTTCTTTAACGGGACACTATCATATGCTTTCTCAAGGTCTATAAATACCAAATGGGTCTCTCTACTTCTTTCGACACGCTTTTCAATTATTTGTCGTAGGATAAATATATTATCAAGGCAGGATCTCCCGGTACGAAAGCCGCTTTGTTCTTCAATATCTTGTATCTGTCTTTCAACCCTCTTCTTTAATATTCTGCCGTACAACCGGCCCACAGAGCTCGTCACACTAATACCTCTATAATTGGAACAGTCTCTTTTATTCCCTCTCTTATATATGGAGCTTATATAAGATTTATTCCAATCTTTAGGAATTTCCTGGTCTCCACACATACATTTATTGAAAAGGTCTACTATTAATTCTAAAAGTGCAGTCGGCCCATATTTAACCAGCTCTATGGGAATGTCTCCAGGCCCTGCGGCTTTTCCGTTTTTAACCTCTTTTAAGGTTTCCGTCAATTCAGATAATGTTATTATAGGGATTTCCTGTCTTTCGTCTCTGTTGTCTATTAATTCCCTTATCTTTTCCCATCTGTACTCTACTCTATCCTCTTTCAGCAGTTTCGTATAATATTCTTCCCATTCATTTAACTTTATGAGAGAAATGTTGTTTTCCAAGCTTGCGCCACTTTTGTTCCACCCATAAATATGTCCAGTTCATCACACTTAGCCTCCCAGTTTATATTTTTCGCCTTATCCACGTCTTTTTTAACTTCTCTATTCCATTTAGCGTATATTTCTCTGTCTTGAGGATCTTTGGATTGAAGCCATATGTGATATGCTTGTTTTTTCTTGAGAACTTTCTCTTCTAGTTCCGTTGACAACCATTCAGGTTTTCCTTTTTTCCGATTTTCAACTTTTCCCAGTGCTTCATTTGCCGCTTCATGAGTATATTTTTTAATTACCTCATACAGACTTTCGGGGTCTAAGTCCTTTGTTTCTATATATATATATATATATATATATATATATATATATATATATATATTATATATATATTATATATATATATATTAAACCCTACTCTGCTAATTAAAATAGCCTTATTAAATAACCACGATTTAACTAACACGTACTGGTCAAAAAACCTTCTCCTCCATTATGTATGGCTTTTAGAAATAGAAGTACTTACAAGAGGGATTTAAAAGACTTATTCCAG